CTTTATATGTAACTCCTTCTCTCTTTTCAGAAGAAAATGTCACTGGCTCCTAAGTGAAAGAAGCAAAACAAAGGATAACAGTGTCAAGATAATCAACCCAATGTAGGGCAAAGAGAAGCTTCTCTGTGAGTTTGACCATCAACAATGCAGTTTCAATACTCATTGAGGACTCTTCACAGTATAATCACTTAAGAAATCTTCCTGTAATTCACTAGCTGTCTGCATACTCTCCGCATTGCCACCTTCATTTCTTGATTCCTGAATGTATAAATGACAGGATTCAGGAAAGGGGTGAAAAGTGCATCAAAGATGGCCAGAAACTTATCCAGTTGTGTGGACAAAGACGGCCACATATAGAAGAATATCAAAGGACCAAAGAACAAAACCACCACAGTGATATGAGCTGAAAGTGTGGACAGAGCCTTCCTTAACCCAGCTGAAGAGTGTTTCTGAACAGTGACAATGACGACGATATAGGAAATGATCAGTATGAAGAAGGAGCCCACAGAGATGAATCCACTGTTGGCCGTGACCATCAACTCCAGCCGGTAGGTGTCTGTGCAGGCCAGTCTGATGAGCTGAGGAAGGTCACAGTAAAAGCTGTCCAACACATTGGGGCCACAGAAGGGTAAGTTTACTACAAAAGCCAACTGAATCACAGAATGGATAAGGCCAATCATCCACGCTGACACTAATAAGAAGATGCACATTTGTGGGCTCATGATGGTGAGGTAGTGGAGAGGCTTACAAATGGCCACATATCTGTCAAAGGCCATGGCTATGAGCAGCACCATCTCCACAGCACCAATGACGTGGATGAAGAAGACCTGAGCAATGCAGCCACCAAAGGAGATGACTTTGCACTTTCTGAAAAGATCATAAATCAGCTTGGGAGAAGCAACAGAGGAACCACCCAGGTCAATGAAGGAGAGATTGGCCAACAAGAAGTACATAGGGGTATGTAAGTGGGGGTCAGAAGTCACAGTGAGCATAATGAGGGAGTTTCCCATCATGCTTGCCATATAAAGCATGGAGGAGAACACAAAGAGGACAAGTTGTAACTCCCAGGAATTGGAGAGTCCCAGTAACATAAACTCTGACACCACAGAGTGATTTACTCCATCCATTGACTTTGCCAGCAGTGCTATCTAAAGGAGGAGAATAGAAAGAAATGTAAATTATAAGAATTATATTAATAAACTACAAGGATAAATGTAAAAATTATGAAATTTATCTCCACAGTGGCTGGAACAATGGACTCAAGCGTAGCAACAATTGTGAGGATGGTGTAGCAACAATTGTGAGGATGGTGCAGGACAGAGCAGTGTTTTGTTCTGTTGTAACTAGGATGGCTCTGTGTTAGAATCAACTCAACGGCACCTAACAATAACTGCGTCTACACTTTGGCATTAAATCTGTCCTAATATACTCACGGACCCTAAAACTGTGATCACTCGGAGAAGTTGGTGGCTGCCATGTGGAGCTGCTCTCTATCACCAAGTTGACTCTACGTTTAACACCTATGATGGTTAATTTCATGTTCCAATTTATCTTGCTACTGTTGTTAGTTGCATTCAGTTGGCACTGACTCCTGGCAACCTTATGTATAACCTAAGGCTATAATACCTTAACACAGCTAGGATATAACCTGTTGCTGTTGGGTCAATCCTAACACATAGAGACCCTATAGGACCAAGTACAACTGCCCCATATGGTTTCCAAGGAGCAGCTGATGAATTCGAACTGCTGACCTCTTGATTAGCACCCAGGATCTGAACCATTGTGCCACCAGGGCTCCAAAACATCTAGGATATAGTACCCAGTTAATTAATGAAACTCTAACCTTGTTGCTGTGAAGCTATTTTGTAGATGAGTTTATAATCTCCAATCAGTTCACTTTGAATAAAGGCAGTTACCATTGACAATGTGACTGAGGTCTTACTCAATCACTAGAAAGCCGTAAATGCAGACACTGAGGTTTCCCAGAGGAGAAAGTCTGTCTCAAGACATTAGCATCAAATCCTGCCTGTGTTTA